AGAACCCACTGGCTGTGTCCAGAGTAGTGAAAACTTGGCTTGTGAAAGCTTGGAGATTATTTCCTCAATGGTGGGAAGTGAGAATCTCCTTGATTTCACTTTTTCAAGTCTACACATATGCATACATTCCCATTTTGCTTGATCACTGGCACTTTGGCCACACACCACTCTGGCTGGGTAACCTTTTCCATTATGCCTTCCCATTCCATCCTTCCTAGTTCATCTTGGTCTTTGGACAATAATGGCGACTGAACTCTGTGGACAGCTTGCACAGCATACGGCTGGGCTCCCTCTTTTAGGATGATTTTCACTGGCTCTGATTTTAGTTTGCCACATCCAAACACATTTCATTAAGTCGTTTGACTAACCCTAATTTTGCTGTGGCTGTGCGACTGAGGAGGTTACTGACATTTTTCCTAGAATTATATGTGCAAATTGTACTGCTGAACCTGGTCATTTATTTTTGCTGGGAACTTGCCTAGGCATTGAAGTTGATCATGTTGGGCAACTTTGAATTGATTTTGATAGTTGCAGGACTCTTTCGGTGTGATATTGAACATCTCCAATATTTAGTACTGCTGTCCACTGATCATCAGAGGTGTTTTTGAGTGATTTGGGCCTGGGAAGTGCACTTGTTCAAGCTGTTCAGTTTCCTCTGTCAATGTCCATTGTTAAAAGCGCTATACAAATAAAATTGAAATTGAAAGTCTTCTTCCTAGCAGGACAATGTTTAGAACTAGTGCTTGCTGTATTTGTGTCTTTTCTCTGTATTATTCCTTATTTTCTGTTCTTGCCGACTGTTTTACTTTTCCATTGAAAAGCCAAACCACCATTTTCCTTTGTTTGGTCGACTGTGATATGCGGAATGAGATTTTGCTGTGGTTTGTGTGACTGCATGCCAACCTGCATTGCTACAGGCACGCCTGCTGAATGGCTGGTGCTGAAACTTCTGTGAAAGTTCTTTACCTCTTATCCCGATGACCAGCTGGTCCCTAATGTGTTCGTCTCACTGTGTCCTGAATTCAAAATCTTCTGTGAGCTTATACAGTGCACGAATACACACTTCAGCCTTTTTCCTCTGGTTGCTGATTTATTATTATTACATTTGGGAATAATAATACCGCACCAAAGTGTTCTTCCAAATTCTTGTCAAACTCAAACAAGGAATATATTTTCCACTTACCTCCCAATTGCATAAATTAGTGAACTGACCTCAACTGCTTTATCGTCCTTGTCTAGTTTCATTGCTGTTCTGAAGTGGAGAAAGCATTGTTTCCTATCCAGCCATTAAGCAGGGTTTTCGAATTAATTTTTTTATCGGGGCTAATCTTGTGCATGGCTTTGGTCCATCAGTCACTTTATGGACTTTATGTTCTTGACAAATAACTCAAACATGAACTGCTTTAATCACAGTGAACAGTTTAGCACAGCATTCACACAATTTATCATCCAACAAGTCTCCATGCATAGGCACATGTTTACATTTAAGTGCCAAAGGCTTACTTTCTGCTATATGGCACAAATTAACAAAATAAATACATTAACTAAACATTCTTAGGATAGTCATGTTTGGAGAGAGAAGACTTGCTAGTATGTTCCCAAGAACACCAAACACACAGTGAAGTATGGAGGTGGGAGCATCATCATATAGAGCTGTATCTTTTCAAACAGTACTGAACCATTACATGCCATCGAAGGAAACATGAATGGAGCGATGTACCGGGACATATTAGAGGAGAATTTAATCTTATTGGCCAAGAAACTGAATCTGGGGAAAAGATGGATATTTCAACAAGACAACAACATCAACATACATCCACAATAACTCAAGAAGGCCTAGCATGGCCTAGCCAAGCTCCTGACATGAATCCCACTGAAAGTTTATGGAGGATTTTGAAATCGTGAGTCCATCAGAGGAACTCACAACCTTGGGGAACAGAAGACAATTTGCCAAGAGGAGTGGGCCAAAATTGAAACACAATGTTGCAAAAAGCTAATTAAATCATACCATAGACTTCTCAAAGCTGTAATTGCCAAAAATAGCTTAGCAATAAATTAATTAGTGGGGCCCAAATACGTTTTCCCTATGAATTTAATTTTTAAACATAGCTTTGTTTATTCTTGTGAAAACCTTTTTGTTCATATTCATAGGTACAAAGTCAAAAGGCATTATGTGTGTAAATTTGAAGTGGATATACTATATGCAGCAGACGTATAATAAATAACAATAATAACAATAAGTGTGTCTGGATGTGTGTGTCTTAGAGAAAAAGCAAATGCCACACCTTTGTGTCATCATTTTCCAATAGCCAGAAGAAATTGCTTCTGAGGAAGAGAGAAATTAACCACCCTTTTTGACAGGACAAGCTTTGTATTCTGCCCTTCAAATACATAGGAGTTTAGTGACAACAAAAGTTCAGACCACGAAGTGTATGTGTGTGTGTTTGTGTGTGTGTGTGTGTGTGTCTTAAAGTTCTTTAACCTTACATTACAGAATTCCAGTACCTTTGGTCTTGGGGTGTTTTAAATTGTTCTGAATATTTCCACACTTGTGTTCCTTAGGGTCTCATCTATAAAAGATTACCATTGGGACTAGGGTATAAGACTAGAAAATCTTTAATATATAACAGAAAGTAAGACCAGCCAGCTATGGATTTTAAAATTGAGCTAAAATTTTTAGGACGGTATTGGAGACCAAATTTATTATTTTCCTTCTTAAATTGAGATTTAAAAAAAAAAGTCTAGTTTTTGTAATAAATCTCTGTGAAAAAAGTGGAATTGTGCCCTGTCCCAAACCCCTGTATTGAGAGAGTGAAGCCTCAATTATACTTCCCACCCAACAGACTTACAACGCTATGAAGGCACTAGTACTGAGTACCAAACAAACAAACAGTAGAATTTTATATAGAATGTACCTGTCTATTTGAATTATATAGAACTGGACAGGGGCGGCAAAAGAACATAATAATTCTTATTATTTTTCCTCTGGGTCTGATGCATGTCCTCATAGTAGACTATTTATTTGTATTCACCTATTATACAAGAAGTGTCTACATCTTTTTCTTTCTTGTTTTTCTGATTTCCATGGATTTCTTGTTTATTGTCTTTTGTTCTCTGTCTGCTGTCGTGTTTTTTCCCCCCTCCTCCATATTGTAAAGTGATCTTGAGTTTGCAGAAAAGCGCTATATAAAATAAACTTATTATTATTATTATTATTACAATACAGTGTCTAATGAACCATTTGGAATTTAAAAAAAAATCTTCATCTTTATGCAGTGGATATAAAAATTCTACATATCACTGTTAAAATTGCAGAGTTTTTCTTCTTTTTCCACCCTTAATGTGATATCGCAGCTAACAAAATCCAAGTGAAAAACAAATAGAAACTTTTTAGGAGGAAAAAAGAATTTACAATAACCTGGTTGCATAAGAGTGCACACCCTTTTATAACAGGACATGTGACTGTGCTCAGAATTAAACACATTCAAACTCATGTTCAAAAGTAATTATCATACAGCTGTCATCAGTGAAGTTATTCTGATTTACCCCAAATAAAGATCAGCTGTTTCTGTAGGATTTTCTTCACATCTTCTTGGTTTCATCCAACTGCTGGAGCCATGGTCCACAAAGAGCTTACAAAGCATGTACGGATTCTCATTGTCAAAAGGTATATTATGAAAAAAAGACAGCTCTTTTGGCATATTTTGGAGTTCATTCCAGGACACTCCAACATTAAAATGCAGAGCTCCTATGCAAAATGCGTAAATATTTTTATTTTATGGTATTTTCCATCTCAGCCCACATCAGGCTTCTATAATCTTCTTTTCTCCACAAAGGAGGAGAACTTATTGGCTGCTTGAGTGGTCAATGGATGAACGTACCCCAAGTATGAGGGCCTCTTTGACATATTCCTCCATGACTTTGGTTTCTGGAACTGAAATATGAGGTTCCAGGTTGGAGGTCTATAGCACAGTCTCACAGTCAATGGGGAGACAGATCAGAGGCTTTGGCTTTATTGAATCCTTTGCCCGATCAAGGTAGGGACCAAAAATTTTAATATTGTTCTTGACCTCTAGGCTTTCTATCTGAGTAGTGTAGCATGAAAAAGAGAAACAGGCTTTAAAACAACATAAATTTAGATAAATGTAAATATAAAACTACATGCTAATATCTCATCTTCCAAGATTATGAAGGGTTGTGCCAAGGGTGAACTAAGGAAAGCCAAGAACTATGGGGTTGTCTGGTAATTTCATGATCATGAAAGTTATTTTCTCAGTATGAAAGGCTCCAGTGCACATTTTCCCATTTCCAAATGGAGAACCATGTAGGGCATATATGCTGAGAGACCTGTGTAATGGAATGAGAGGTATTTCTAATAGTCTTGCTACTTTTTCATCTAGGAGGTTCCCAGCTGCACCAAGAACAAGTACAGTCAAAAAGTACCAGATAATATTCAGACTATGAGCACAAAGAGACAGGAATTGTTCTTTATCTTTATTATTTTCATTATTTTATTGTTATTTTATATGTTATATAATAATGACAGGAGAGCTCAAGTGGCATGAATGCACTGTTGTTTGGCTTAAACTGCACTTGACTCAATAATGTCCTTTTTCCACCACAATATAGACGTAATCCCTCTTGTCTTCAGGATTCCTTCCCCACTGTGGAAAGTTTTACATGCACAGTTTCCATATTGGAAGTTACAGTCCTCCAAAAAGCCCCTTTACATTTGTATTAGTTTAATAATTATTTTCCAAATCATGGAACATTGACATTTAACAAGTCCTTTCTTTACGTCTTACTCTTGGCTTTAAATTTTGATTAAGGATCCAAGAGAAACACTATAATAACAAAAGACTACTTAGTATGTTGTTGTTGTTCTACCAGCTGCTCCCATTAGGGGTTGCCACAGCGGATCACCTTCCACAACCTGACACAACTCTTCCCATTTATCCAGGCTTGGGACCAGCCCTGAGAGTGCACTAGCCTGGGGTTGGTGCCCAGCATAGGGCTCAAACCCACAATCCTCAGATCAAGAGTCCCTTGCTCTATCAACTAAGCTAGCCAGGCACCCAAAAGACTACTCAATATAATTCTAAATAATTATATCTAATATATTATAATTATATATTGTATAATTATGTAAAATAATTATATGCTGGTCTCTGTAGCACAATGAGAGTTGCATTTGTATTTTTGGCTTTAAGTAATAACCATTTAAGGTGGGTGACAGACTTCATCAAGGGTGTGTCTTGTCTCCACTTGTCTTTGTGGATTTCACGGACAGGATGTCAAGGTGGAAGAGGTTCTTTTGGTACATATTTCAGAAAATCTTTCAGAAAAAAGGGAAAGAAATTGATTTCCAAAATATAAGACAATAGCCAACATAGAAATGCTATAGGATACTCCTTTCTGCTTTACAACATATCAGCAGATTACCATCTTTCAACATTTTAGCACTATCAGATTCTTCTAGTCGGTAGTTACACATGATAATTTGATTGGATTCATTATTCCTCTCTCTCCCTCAACCCTGATTATACCCATATGTACTTTCTGTTCACTCATGTTAATTGCAACACTATTTTCAGCACTTCCCCTTTTCATTATTTAAATTGGTCGTTCCTCTTGCCTTTCCTCTTTTATCCCAGAGATCCCTTTCCTGCGACACTAATTTCTACACTCAAAAATAAATAAATAAAATACTTAACTCCTGAACTTCCCCAATCGGTTTCATTTACACCATAGTTTAGCCATACTGCCACTTTTCCTGTCAGAATATACCACTCTTTTGGTTCTCTACACCTTCTTCAGCTTCTTTTTCTTCATTAACCTATGCTGATCAACCCATTATTTATCAGGTTGGTTTGTAGTTAGCATCACAAATTAAAATGAATAGTTACTTAAATTTGCTGGATTATTGTTTTCTTCAGCCTCAGTTAGGATGCAGTCACTAGAACAGCTGAGGTTTTTCCAATACTGATTAATTTGGTGAGGAAGCAGAGCCTTTATGATTGTTTAAGGGAGCAGTGCCCTTCTGATGGGTGCATATGGGAATGCTTTTTGGCAACTACATGTGGAAAAAACAAAAACATTTGTGTCTTGTATTTTGAGAGAACCCATATCTGCATTATTGGGCCACTGTTTAAAAGAAAAATACAAGCTTACGAGAATAAAGTTGTGATATCTCTAGAATAAAGTCATAATATTTCAAGAAAAAAGTCATAATTATGTGATGTGGTTGGAGGTGTATAGTACAAAAAATGACCACAATGTAACCATGGACTATTGCATATCTAAAATAACGTGCTTGAGAGTCACTTACAGGACGTCGAGTGCAGCAGAGTTCCACTCTTTTGGGATCGATCGTTCTGATGATCATTCTCATAAAATTTAAATACTATGAATTCGAAAGAAATATTCTCGAAATATTGTGATTTTTTTTTCTCATGATGTCAGATATTGTGGCTTTTTTTTCTCAAAATATTTGAGAACTTTATTCCTGAAATCTTCTATTTTATTTTTTAAATATGTGAGGATTGACAAATGCGCAAAACAGACCTGGCAGTAATATAGCCTACTAGGCTCCTATTAGATATTTTTAATGCTTGCCTTATTATTATGTATATATCAGTGTGTTTGTCTTTTTTGTTTATTTAATTTTAAATTGACTCTTGATTTTATTTTGTATTGTTCTGAACTTAATGGCAAAGAAAAAAAATGCTATCTGCTTCTTCTACCCACATTTTTATTTTTATTTATCTTTTTCAGGTAATTCAAGTGCCTGTCTTTAAAAAAGCCATCTCTCACACTTCTACTCAAGAAACTACGCTTATGAGGAAGTTTATGTATTCCCATTTGATCTCTATTCCTCATTTGATCCTTCTCTAGCGCTGTACTTTACCTCTCACATGGAATGCTGATTTACAGCACTAGGTGGGCCTCCCCCTCCACCCCCTGGGGAAAACGGCCCACAGTCCTCTCTCCAATGTGTTGCTCTACAACATAAAGGGGAGAAAAAAAATCAGGGGAGTGAAGCAAGGGGCTCCTGTATAGAGTTGGCTTAACCTTAACAAATGCCTGCTGTTGACCACTGGACTGAATCTGGTACACCATTTTAAGTGAGATCAGCAGGTTTGGTGAGGTCTGAATAATTAGGTACAAACCTTTTATAATATCTTAGCAACAGGAACTGCTGTCTAATTAATTTGGGGACACACCTGCCAATGCCCATGTAGAAGCCCAGATACTGTACCTTAGTTACACCTTTCCTTCACACTTTGCCAGGTTTGGCTTGAGGCCATCTCAGGGACTTCAGGACCTCCCATGTTTACCACAAATGTTGCTGCCACTTTTTACTGTAAATAATGATGTTGTCTAAATATGTAGTGGCATATGCACAGTGGGGCCACAGAATCTGGTACACAAGCTGTCGAAACATAGGCAGTGCTCAGACGGGCATGGACAGAATGATGACTAATTGGTATAAACCGAACAGATTGGAAAAAGCCATTTTTCCCTGGACTCTGGAGATAAGGGACCCTGATATTAGCCATAAGTTAACTCCAGTGTTGATTAAAAGTGAGCCATGTCTAGCCTATCCAGGAACTTGCCAATATGTGTCATTGCATAGGCATCATTTTTTGATACCACATTTAACCTGTGAAAGTCTTCACAGAACCAGACTCCATACACATGGAAGGGGGAGGATAGCACTTTCCTCTGAGTCTGTTATATTGTCCCCTGATATTTTATGGGCAACAGTTTAAAAAAGAAGTGGTCGGCTGGCTTCACATGCCACGAAGGAAGCATGTGTTCGCCTTCGCCCTCCATGGTTAGTAGCTGGCTGGTGCGCTCGGGGAAAAGGGCAACAAAATCACTTATAGAAACATCAAGAGGATTAAGCTGCATCTGTGCTAAGAGAGGGTCTCAGAAGGCCAGAGTGCACATGAATTAAACTGTCAGCTGAACTTAAGGAATATCTGTTTCAATGCAGACATTCCTCCATGAAGGAAGTGCAACTGAATATAGTGGGAACTCAGAAGGCACCACCATCCATGAGCCATCCACCACCTGCCCTCTCTGTGGATCCACCACCTGCATGCAATGAGGATGCCACCACTCCATCTCCTGACTGAATCAAGTATACCGTCGCCCAACTTTTAGCCAAGGTCTGCACCACAGCCTCTCCCACTTCACCCATGTCCTGCACCACAGCCTCTTCCACTTCACCTAAGGCCTGCACCATAGCCTCTCTTGCTCCACCCTAGACTTGCACTGAGGTCTCTCCTGCTCCTCCCAAAGCTTGAGCCAAGGTCTCTCCTGCTCCTAACAAGGCCTGTGTTGAGTCTTCTCTTGCTCTGCTTGTTCTGCTTCCTGCTTCAAGGAGGACTTGCCAGCTGTCATTCAGGAGTTGCTCCAGGTGCCCAGTTTTGAAGTGAGTATGCATACTGGATTTTAATTTCCTCACTAGATGAGAGGGTGGTTATTCCAGCCAGCTTCACAAACCTGCCCGTGTACAGGTTTCTAGATCCTCCGGTAGATTATGCTGACCATCTGGCATGAGGCATTCCCAGCCCTCTTGCTGCCTTCACTGATCCATTGCCATATGGGCTTCCTGAGGTCACTGTGCCAACATGCCTCTGCCAGAGTTGGTTGCCTTGCCTCCCATGCATTGCCAGCCCCTGGAACCAGACCAGGAATCCTTTCTTGTCATCTTTCAGGAGCCACGCATTAAAGGGAGTGGGGATTCTGTTATGGTTTCCCCAACAGTACCTTTGGTGATGAATGCCATGTCCTTATTTTGGTATTCTGTTTGGGTCCTGTCTCCACCCCCCTCTTATCATTAGTTTTTCTCTGAAAGTGATGACCTGTCATGTGTTTCATCCTGATTAATTTGGCTGTTTATACCATGTCATGAAGTTTTTCCATCCATTAAGTTAAGCCCTGTTACCATCCTGTTTATTCTTATTTACAAACTTGTCTATTTTATTACCATTATGGATTAACCATGTTTAGCCCCGTGTATTGACTTCTGCCGGAGACCATGGCTATAATCTTCAGGTTGCCTGTAATAAGAGAATTACCAAGTTTATGCCCTTTCCATCCTGCCTTTACTCACCACACATTAAAGGTGAATTTATACCAGAATTTGCAGAAGCTACTGTATATAAGTTAAACTGGGGGATTCTGCAGGCCTCTCTGTGATCTTCAGTTGGTATTTGGACACAAATATCACAGCATGTGAAATAATTACCTCATGTTTAGCTCATGTTTGGATAAGTGTGCAGTGGTGGGAGACTCCATTAATAATCCACCTAATTTCAATCAGAATGTAAAAAAATAACTCTATTTAGACACCTACAACAACACAGAGTACACTATTCTAAATGAGATATTTATTATTGAATAATCCATTTAATAAAATAATCAAAATGTAACCCAATATTTGTCACAACTGGAATCTTTCCATCCATTCTCTGCATGTGCATTTGTGTCATGACACACACTGCGCACCATGGCTGGCTTCCTCATTATGTTGGGGTGTCTGAGAGATATTCGTATGTAAATTTGTGAAACAGATTTTATACAAGTACACTGACTCTTCTTCTCTGCATAATAATTATATCTGGTGAACAAACGTTAACCAGAGTTATGTACTAACAGGACTCTGTTAACAACTAATGTTGACGCAAAGTACACCTATAATCATGTACATGTATTCAGATTTTATATATAGCATATGCAATCTGAAATTTAGGGTACAGCGTTTGGGGTATATGTACAAAATTCATTAGATCTTTGCAATTGGTATTAATTTATTCTGATGAAAATATTTATAAGTAAACATAGACAGTGCGCCATATCCGTGATTAGCTGCACCTGCTTGCAAAGGCACACACAAATACAACACTGACTTACAAAATTGTTATGGAGATTTTTGAGTAAGTATGATATGTTTACTTAGATGTCCATTGTCAATTCCAGTAATTGAATAGACCACTAATATTATTTTTCATCATGTTTTCACAAAAATTTGATTGGGTCTCAACAATCACACAACACACAGT